CTCCCCGCGCCCTCCTCCAGGACCAGCCAGCTCTGCGTCCTTCTTGCAGTGAAATATTAGGCGACTTACTTAGTCTCTCCCTGCCTCAGTTTCCTCCAGTCAGTTCCTCTCCAGTGGTGTTCTTTTGAGAATTAAGTGAGACTATATATGAAAGGCTTAAAAATAGTGCCTCGTGCATAGTAAAATGTGGGCTGTTATCATAGGTTCTAGTATAATACTCTGGCGTCCTGTTGGGAAGCGCCTGCGAGTTCGGGATGGGGTCGGAGCCCCAGCTACAGCCCCACTGTCCCCTGGTCACTGATGTGGGGCTATTCCTGGATTCCTGGACTCTTTCTAGACCTTTGTTTAGGAAGGAGAGTTACCTTCAACTGGATCGTGGAAAAAGTCCTCTGTGGTTTATTTCAGACTGAGAAATCATCGTGATCACGGCTTTACAAGAGTGCCTGCAGTGTAGTGAGGCCTTAATAAAGAATGTTCAGTATGGTATAATAACCTCGTGGTGTTAATTTAAGTGCTACGCGATTTCTTAGTCTTAGGTTTTTATTGGTCATTGTTTACCTTCATGCAAGTGGGAGAAGAAATCTTAAGCTCTTCCAGCTTAATAACATGTGCAAGCAGTTACACCTTTTAAGGGGGGAAAAATCCACGGCAATTTAACGTTCATTAACAGCAACACAAATTATCTGTGAGACAACCGGTCAGAATTTGACGTTTCTGAGAGTAAGGGTGACTCAAGGGACAGAGCAGTCATCTCTGAATTCAGTGTTTCTTAAGATTCATTTTCGTGAAGCATATTCGCAAAGGCAGTTCTGGGACTCATAAGAGGACAAGCATTGTCTGAAGCTGCAGGGAACGGGGAACACCGGCATTACTACACCCGTTTACAAGTGACTGAGGCACCTGGAGGTTAATAACGTGCTACTAGTAAGGAGAAAGTAATTAAGGAGAAATGCCGGAATTTGAACCCAGGTGTTTGGGCCCGGTTAAGTTGTCCTGTCTCTCGTTTCCTTGATAACCAGCCTCAGGAATACCCTGGGAGCTCCAAGAAGCACTTGGGTTAGGGCTGTTAATAGATTGTTCATGAGCTAAGGAAGCTGAATTCAGCCTCTGTTCTCACTAGGTTATGTTGGCTCTGCGTTGCCTAGAGAAAAGGGCCCTTCTTCCTGCTCACCTGATGTACCGTGTGGGCTAGCACATCTCCAGCATCTCTCTCATCTCAGCTTTCCCTTCCCCAGTTTTGTCTTCCCGGAGCCCTGCCTGCCACCAGAAGGACGAGGGAAAAAAATGACCAAGTTCCAGGTAAGTTGGGTTGGCCTTTATTTCTTACAATGACATCTCATTTCACAGCTGGACACATTTTCCTCTTGCTCAGGGAGGGTAAGAGGGAACCGAAAGCCCTCGCTTTTTGTTTCTTTCCAAATAATAGCATGAAACTTAATAGATTTTTTTTAAAGTAAAAACAGTCCCCATATTATAAACATGTTTGCAGAGCAGCACTTTTCATTTTCCCACATTCCTTTTCATTCCTTTGTGTTTGCACGTGTAGATCTGTTATCAGCGTTTCAGTGCCATCTTGCATGTTTAAAACTGAATTTTATATCATCTACAAGTTAAATGGCCTTGTCGTTTTCCATGATTTACCAATATGTCCCCCTGTTATCCATATTTATGTGGTTTCTGAATTTTACCATTTTAATATGTTTACAAGGACAGTTTTCCTACATATATAAACCTTTCTTCCCAAACAGGAAATTTGAGAGTTCTATTTTCTTCTTAAAATTTTAGGAACTCAATTGTTTCCTCATATGTGGAGTCTCACGTTTTGTGGCTAGAATGTCTGAAGTATGGTTTGGTGCAACAATCCAACTGATACTGAACTCGGAAAAAAATAATTTTCATTGTTTTCACACAAGAACAACTAGATTCTTTGATTTTAAGTTAAACCATGTATGTATTATGGTTAAGTATCTGTTTCATTCATCGACATGTTAGTATAAAGAAGTACACATTCAGTTTTAAAAGTCTAACAGCAATAGGGACATCTGTGTGAGGACAGAGGTGGTCTTAGGTGCATTTTAACATGAACAGATTTGTGAGCATTCAGATACCTGCTAAAATCCACTCAGTGGCCAGCTCACACTACAGTTCCCGTTGCCTGGGCCAGGAGTTGCAGGTGTCCAGTGAGGGTAAATGGGGAGACCCAGCAGAAGAGACTACTCCATGCGGGGACCTGAGGCCACGTTGTGTGCGTGCCTGGCATGGCTGGTGGACGGAGGATTCTGAGAATAGCACTGCCGCTCACCTGGTTCCTTTTCTGAGTGCCTGTCTCTTTTTGGCCAGATGTGTTAACTAGCTGTTTGATACATAGAGGCTCAAGACTCCAGCCAAAGCAAATCAGAGAGGAGCAAGGTCTTCAGATAAATCTTCTCATAAAGGAAAACACTGTATACAAAGTCATGAGACCCGCAGGAGACAGGAGTGAGGGTGGGGCGTGAGGGTGGGGATTTATACGTGCTAGTAAAGGCTTAGTATTCCTCACAGGACTCTTACTGATGCATGAGATCACCTCAGTAGGATTACAAGCAAGGGAAATGAACAAGCGGTATGTGTGGGAGGGGGTAAATATCAAAAGATGATGTTTTGAGAAAGTGAAATAAGTGGGATTTGGGGGGGGATTTTTAGAAAGAGCTGTTTTTTAAAAATTTTGTTCTGTTTTGTTTTGTTTTTTGGTGTATTAATGGAGGTCCTGGGGTCCTGGAGATTGAAGACAGGACCTCATGCATGCTAAGCATGCACTCTACCACTGAGCTGTACCCCTCACCCTCCAAAGAGCTGTTTTTATCACTTACCAAATTACCCAAGATTTAAGAAGGAAGATAATACCCTGTTTGGGCCAGAGTATGGAGAATCAGGGACACTTCCAATCTGTTACTGGAAGAGTTGATTGGGAAAATTGCCATTTTACTAGCAAAGGTAAATATTTGTTGACAATGCAGTTGCCACTTCTTGGAACTTATCCCAAAGGAAATAAGCAGACAAGTTGGCCGAATCTGTGTGAAAAAAATTTTCGCAGCATTATTAATAGTTTAAAAATCTTAAGGTATTACATTGTTATTTAATTTTATGGCATCGTTAAATATGTGTTTTTTCACTTTCATGAAATGACCATACAGCCATGAATAATGAAATTAATAGTAACAGTGATGACTGGCATTTGTTGAGTATTAACATTTCGTTTTTTTTTTTGGTTGGGGGAGGTAATTAGGGTTATTTATTTATTTAATGGAGGCACTGGGGAGTGAACCCAGGTCCCCCTGCAGGCTTAGCACGCGCTCTACCAGTGAGCGCTACCCTCCCCGCTGAGCAGCCTCACTGAATCCCTTCAGGTACCCTGGGATGTTGCGCTCTTGGTCAGATGGGCAGGTGCTGAGAAGCTGGGTGGCTTGTCCAAGGTCAGAGATCTAGTCCTGTGAACGGAGGCAGTTCGTCTCCAGAGCCTGTGCCCGTCACCTTGACACTGAAGGCTGCCACCGACACAGACGGCGAGTTCCCGAGACAATGAACTAGGGACCTGCCTGTGGAGGCGCCAAGGCCGGTCAGATCGGCAGCACCGACAGAACAGCGGTACCGCCCGGCGGGGGAGGAGCTGGGCGCGGAGGAGTGCCCGTCTGTGGGGCTAAACTAACTCAGCATTTCCCACAAAATCTGGCACTTTCAGCCCAACTGTAAAATGCACGTCCGCCGTGATTTAACAGTGGCAGTGACAGTTCTGAGATGCAGCTCTATACAGGGCACTATTTTACATGTATCTCAGGGTTTAAAAAAAATTGGGGGAGGGGGTTCCTTCCTCCGGGCCCCACCTCCCCACACACATGCCCCCCCCCAGCAGTTTTGGTGTGACTGTGGGAGGGGAAAAGGAGACAGTCTCCTAAAACGAGTCGTTCAGGTTGCTCAGAATCTGGAAGAGCTTCCCACATCTCTCCTCCCCCTTGTCAGTGCTGGCCGTCTCCCAGGGGAGGTTGGTTGTAAGATTGAGGCTACACATGTTTCATGTTGTAGGAGGCAGTGACGTTCAAGGACGTGGCCGTGACCTTCACGGAGGAGGAGCTGGGGCTGCTGGACCCCGCCCAGAGGAAGCTGCACCGAGATGTGATGCTGGAGAACTTCCGGAACGTGGTCTCTGTAGGTGAGGATGGGCGCCCTGAGCAGGGTTTCTCAGCCTCGGCACTGCTGACATTTGGGGCCAGATGATTTCTTTGTTGTGGGGACCGTCTCACGCGCTTTAGGATCCCTGGCCTCAGCCTGTGACTTCACGGCTTTAGGGCTTCTTATAGATCAGAGTTTTCCAGTCCCTTTGGAGCACAGAGACAAGATGTTTCTAGTCTTTGTTCCAAGGGAAACATTTGCCTTTCATAAATGAACTATAAACAGTTGAACTTAAATTTGTGGGTCATGAAATCAGTAAGCTGCATCAGCATTCCTGTAGTAAAAATGTAGAATACAGTAGCGATGAATGGTGCAGGTCGTAGTGACTGCTGCAGCTGTTACCGCGAGGAGCGTGAGACCGCAAAGGCCGTGATGGAAACAGGCTGTCTGGAAGCAGTTCATTTAATCTTTTACTTCAGTCATTTCCATGCAGTAGTCATGCATTTCTAACAACGTATATTCCTTATGCTGGATCTGATCAGAAATGCTTGGTGAACTTTGGGGGAGGCGCGAAGCCTCACACCATGGGACTGGGACCAAAACTGTTCAGTGCTTTCTTCCTTTAATGTTTTCGCAGGGCACCAGTCCTCCAAACCAGAGATGATAGCCCAGCTGGAGAGAGAGGACAAGCTTTGGATGACAGAGATCCAGACTCAGGGAGGTAGGCATTCTCTGGCTGGAACGTGGCTCTCCCACACACCTCCCACCCCTCTTTCTTCTTCATTCCTGTCTCTGCTCAGAAGTCCTTTCACCCAAGGCTGTTTCCGACCAGTCCTTTTAAAATACCACCCACCCTTCACTCTCCATTTACCTGAATTTGTGTCTTAAGTACCATCCCTCCAGACTTATTAGTATATATAAGTTTTTAATTGTGGCAAAATATACATAAAATGTATCATTTTAACTGCAAGTTCAGTAGCATGAACTACATTCACATTGTTGTGCAACCTTCAGCACTGTTTCCCCCCAGAACTTTTTCACTATCCCAAACTGAAACTGTCCCCATTCAACAACTCCCCATCCTCGCCTTACCCTCAGTCCCCAGTAACCACTGTCCCACCTTCTGTCTCTGAATTTTGACTATTCCATGTACCTCCCATAAAAGGAACCATACAGTATTTGTCCTTCTGTGTCTGGCTTACTTCACTTAGCATGATGTCTTCAGGGTTCATCCATGTTGGAGCACATGTCAGAATTTCCTTCTTTTTTAAGGCTGAATAACGACCACATTGTATATATACACCACATTTGCTTCATTCATCCACTGGTGACATTTGGGTCGTTTGCGTCTTTTGGTTATTGTGACTCACGCTGCTGTGAGCATCTGTGCTGTGTACAGACACCTATTTAAGTCCCTGCTTTCCGTTCTTTTGTGTATATACCTGGAGTAGAAACGCTGGAGCATGTGGTAATTCTGTTACTCAGTGTTTAGGGAACCACTATACTGGTTTCCATACCAGCTGCGCCATCTTCCACTCCCACCAGCAGTGCGGAAGGGTTCCAATTTGCAGCATCCTCACCGATACTGGTTATTTTGTTTGTTTTTATAATACCTATTTTAATGAGAGTGAAGTGGTACACATTGTTTTTGACTTGCATTTCTCTAACGATTTAGTGATGTTTTGCATCTTTTATTGGCCACTGGGTATATCTTCTTTGGAGAAATGTCTACGTAAGTCTTTTGCTCATTTTTGAATCAGAGTGTTTGTTGTTTTTCAGAGTTCTTTGTATATTTTGAGTATTAATCACGTATCAGTTACATGATTTGCAAGTATTTTCTCTTTCCATGTGTAGCCTTTTTACTTTGTTGAGTGAGTCTTTTTGATGCACAAGTTTTTAATTTTCATGAAGTCAAATTTGTTTTTTGGTTTTTTTTTTTTTTTTTTTTTTGGTTGCCTGTGCCTTTGGTGTCCTATCTAAGAATTGTTTTTTGGTTTTTTTTTTTTTTGGTTGCTTGTGCCTTTGGTGTCCTAAGAAATCATTGCCAAATCCAATGTAATGTAGCTTTTACTCTGTTTTCTTCTAGGAGTTTTAAAGTTTTAGCTCTTACATTTAGATCTTTGATGCATTTTGAGTTGACTTTTGTATATGGTGCGAGGAAGCGTCCAGCTTCATTCTTTTACAGTGTGAATATCCAGTGTTCCCAGAACCATTTATTGAAAAGACAGTCCTTTCCCCATTGAGTGGTCTTGGCACCCTTGTCAGAAATCGTTTGACTGTATACTCAGTAGTTTATTTCTGGGCCGTTTGGTTTATTCCCTTGGTCTGTATGTATGTCTGTCTTTATCCTAGTACTGCACTGTTTTGATTACTATAGCTTTAGGGTAAGTTTTAAAATTAGGGTGTGAGTCCACCAACTTTTTTCAAATTTTTCAAGATTGTTTTGGCTATTTGAGTCCCCTCAAGTTTCCATGTGAATTTTAGGATGGCTTTTCCTTTCTCTGTGTTGGGATTTTGATAGAGATTACAGTGACTCTGTAGATCCCTTTGGGTAGTGTTGGCAAAACAATATGAAATCTCTCAACATTACATCTCTCAATCCATGAATGTGAAATGTCATTCCATTTTTCAGTGTCTTTAATTTCTTTTATCAGTGTTTTATAGTTTTTGGTGTACACATCTTTCACCTCTTTGGTTAATTCCTAAGTATTTTATTTTTGATGCTGTTGTAAATGGTATTGTTTTCGTAATTTCATTTGCAAATTGGTTCATTGTGTATATGGAAGTGCAACTATGGAAATGCAACTATTTTTTAATGTCTATGTTGTGTCCTACAACTTTGCTGGATTCATTTATTGGCTTTAACAGTTTTTTGTGTGTGGAATCTATATTCCTAGCCAGACCGTCACCTTCTCACCCATTCATTCTGTCCTCTCTGCCCTCTCCTCGAATACTTAAACAATCCCTATGTGGAGTTTTCTAGTAGAAATTTCAAATATGACATTTATGGAAGTCACAGATCCAGCTGTGTAGATAAGCTGAATCTGTATAGGACAAGAGAAGTAGTTACCAAAATGAACCTTTTGCAACTTCGAGTACGTTCAAGTGTAATCTGCTTAATTTGGTAACACTCTTAACTCATTTATCATAAGAATTACTTTATATGCATTTAACCCTTGCAATAGTCCTGACCACCCCGGCAATGTCATCATGTCATTTATGAGATGAAACATACCTTAGAAAAATGTCACGCAGCTTGTTAAGTGGGTGAGTCGGGATTTTAAATCTTGATTTTAAAGCCCGTTTGCTCTTAGTAAAACCACTGATTTAAACCTGTTATTATGTTCATGGAAATGCCATTTTGCTGTTTTCCTGCAAGTGCAGCCTCTACTACAGAAGTAGAAGAATTTCAAAACAACATGTACAGCATAGAAAATCAGTTACTTTTTGTGTACATGCTGCATGCAGATAACCGTGTAACAAAGCACCACACTGGGGGCATCCACGATAAAAATGATTTAACGGGC